TAATTTCAAGAAAAGAGTTGGTAGGCGTATGCATTCATCCTGGAACTATTTCAAACTACTCCCTGATGCAAAAAATACAGTGCATCGCTTGCGAACAAGTATGGGCCCCCAACACTAATGCCCAGAGACGCACTGCTCATCTCCGCAGCTGTGTGAAGCAGACTCAGAACGTGCGACTTGAATTTGCTGATATAATGAGTGCTCCTTCCGTTAGCGAAAAGGTGACTTATGTGGGCAAGAAGACTGCAAAGGTAGTTGTGATCGACAGAGAGATTGATCCGGAGCAATGTACTTTGCCAGGGCTGAAAACCTATCCTATCAAACGTACGGATGGCGATTATACTTCTAAACAGAGCCACATAGTATTATCAAAACATTTCGGGATACAGATGGACATGGAGATTACAAGATTTTTGTGGCGAATTCGATAGCGTTCAATGCGGTTAACTCCCAGACGTTGGAGAATATGGTTACAGTAATTCGGAAGGCTTCAGTCTCTCACCCTATACCCCATCGTCATCAGTTGTCTTCAACATTAGTGCCTGCGTTATTTAAAACCGCTCGGGATGAAAGTATGATCGTGATGAATAATATTTTTCCCTTGTGTGGTGGAACGGTAGATATGGATGGTTGCACGGTAATGCAAGAGAGCTTGATAAATGGGGTGGTAAAACTAGGCGATCTTCCTACTCCATTGCCAATTGGTATTTTCAACACAAAAACACATACATTAGTGGGGCAGAAGAAAACCAAAGAATGGAATGCAGAAGTGGCCATAGATTTTATAAATAGTTTGCCGTATGATGGGAAATTTGTGTTCCTGTTTGTATCAGATACAACTGGAAACATGGTAAAATGCTGGCCTATAATAGAAGAGAAGCTGCCTTGGATATCGTGCGCTCCCGACCCTATGCACGTCATGAACTTGGTACTAATGAGTGTGTGCACTATACCGTGCATTGAAAAGACACTCAAGGAGTGTGACAAAGTAACACAATTCTTTTGGAGCTCCACATACTTAATGGCTCAAATTGATTTATACGCGGCACTTCATCATAACCGCCAGATAAGGCCACTGAAGACAACAACCATGCGATTTGCCAAGCTCCTTCACATATCGTACCGTCTAATGAATCTGAAGGACGGAATATGCGAGACTATCTTTGTAAAGACTACTAAGGAAACATTGAGCAGTCGGTGAGATCATCTATGGGATGTGAAGCTTCGAAACCTATTGTGTCGAAGATAACAGGCTATATGAAGAAGGCGGAGCTGTTGTGGAAGAGTCTAACTAAAGCTACTGGCGATTCAAAAGATCTTGCCGACCAAGTATTAACAAAACTAAATCACGGGATACGTGGCAACTGGTCTTTTTTACGTGATAGTACCTTCTACCTGGCGGCGTATTGCCTCGACTCAGCATTTATCGCGGACAACCCATACAGGGAACCGGCAAACCGCGAGGCTCTTCACATTGTGATTCGACGCATACTCAATTCATATCCATCATCTGATGATAAAGAAGCATTTTTCAGCAAGTGTACAGCGGAGTTGGACATCTCTAAATTCCTACTGGTGCTACTGTGGGAGACGAGGCCACTATTGAGGATGCAAGCAACATAGAAGACACTACTGCTACTGGTGCTACTGTAGGAGACGATGCCACTATTGATGATGCAAGCAACATAGAAGACACTATTGGTGCTACTGCGGGAGACGAGGCCACTATTGATGATGCAAGCAACATAGAAGACACTACTGGTGCTACTGTGGGAGACGAGGCCATTATTGATGATACAAGCAACATAGAAGACGCTGTGCAACAGCCTTTTATGCCCATACAAACCCGTGTTCATAAACAAAAACGCACAAATCAATACATATTTTCTTCGGGCTCAACAACGAAGCGGACGAAATTAATGCAACAATCTGTTCTTATTGATGAAGGACCTTTACCGCTAGG